GAACACAGGCGGCAACCTCTTTGACCTCAGCCAGAGCAACTTCTTGCTAGACATGTCACCAGGCCAGAGGCAAGAGTGACAAAAGCTAAAAGGAATATAGAGACTTCATGAAGATGAAAAGCTTCGGCACAGTGAAGAAAACAATCAATGAAACTAAAAGGCAATCGACAGAATGGGAGAAGATACTTGCAAATGACATATCAGATACTAAAGGGTTAGTATCCAAAATCTATAAAGATCTTTTTATACTCAAAACTCAAAAAACAAATAATCCAATTAAGAAATGGGCTGAAGACATGAATAGACAGTTTTCCAACGAAGACATCCAGATGGCTAACAGACACATGAAAAGATGCTAAACATCACTCATCATCAGAGAAACACAGTGCAGATCAAAACTATAATGAGATAGCACCTCATACCTGTCAGAATGGCTAAAATTAACAACAAAAGAAACAAGGGGTGTTGGTGAGGATGTAGAGAAAGGGGAACCCTCTTGCACTACTGATGGGAATGCAAACTGGTACAGCTGTTCTGAAGAACAACATGGAGGTTCCTCAAAAGGTTAAAAAATAGAACTACCCTATGATCCAGCAATTGCACTACTAGATATTTACCCAAAAGGATACAAAAATACAGATTTGAAGGGGTACATGCACCCTGATGTTTATAGCAGCACTATCAACAATAGCCAATTATGGAAAGGGCCCAAATGTCCACCAACTGATGAAGAGCTAAAGAAGATGTGGTATATATACACAATGGAATATTACTCAGCTATCAAAAAAGAATTAAATTTTGCCATGTGCAGTGATGTGGATGGAGCTAGTGTGTATTATGCTAAATGAAAAAAGTCAGTCAGTGAAAGACATACCATATGATTTTACTCATATGTGGAATTTAAGAAACAAAATAGATGAACATATGGGAGCTAGAAAAAAGAAAAAAATAGAGAGGGAAACAAACCATAAGAGACTCTTTTTAAAATCCTTTTTTTTTTTTTTTTTTTTAACTAGGCAAAGAACTTTATTAACCTTGTTTCAAACTTTATACCCAGGCTTCTTCAGCTTAATTAGCAACAAAGAATAAATGCTGTATAAGCAAAACCTGAAAAGAGCTGCAGTGTCCAAGGGGCTTGTAAAAATATCAGAGCTCTAGATTTTACCAAATTCATGAAGAAAAAATTTTGAAAGCAGCCATAATATAAAATATCTCCCTGTAACTTCTTCAAGTTTTATCTTCCTCAGAGGTTGACTCGATTCAGTTTGCTTCATCCTTGGGAGCTTCATCAAAATTCTCCACAAGATGGGGACCTTCATCGTCATCATCCTCTCTGGTTGCGAGTGGTGCCTTTCCATCCACAGATGGTTTGGGCAGAGCTTTCAGCCAGTCTTCTTAAACTAGTCAGACTGTGGGCAGCAAGTTGGCTTAAGATAGTGAGTAGCATTTCTGTCAGCTGCGTTTGCTCAGCATGGCTTGTGATGGTGAAAGTTTCGCTGCCAGGGATGCCTGAACTTTAGGGTTGTTAAAGTGGGTCAAGATGGCAGCTGGAGGGAGCTAAACATTTTTTTAATGTTTGTTTACTCTTGTGATAGGGAGAGAGAGAGAGAAAGAGATCATGAGCGGGGGAGGGAGGGGCACAGAGAGAGAGGGAGACACAGAATCTGAGGCAGGCTCCAGGCTCTGACCTGTCAGCGCAGAGGCTAAAGAGGGGCTCAAACTCCCAAACCATGAGGTCACGACCTCAGCTGAAGTCAGACACTTACCTGACTGAGCCATCCGGACACTCCAAACCATCAGAGACTCTTAACATGGAGAACAAACTGAGGATTTATGGAAGGAGGCGGGTGGGGGATGGGCCAAGTGGATGATGATTATTAAGGAGGGTGTTTGTTATGATGAGCACTGGATATTATAAGTGATGAATCACTGAATTCTACTCCTAAAACCAATACTGCACTGTATGTTAACTAACTAGAATTTAAATACAAATTTGAAAAGAAAAAAATGAAATGAACTTAGCATGTATACGGGTATGTGTGTTCCTAAACAACTTAGTATGAAGGTAAGAATATTCACAGTCTTTGCCCTTGCCTGACCTCTAATTTTGGTGCCCTCATTACCACTCCGTCCAGGCCCTTGGTTGGTGTTGGTTCTCAAAGTGTGGGCCCGGGAAGAAGTCTGTGTGGGCAACTGAGCAGTGACGAATGCATCAAATAACAAATCCCTCTCTTCATATCTTTATGAGACAATCTGCCTTAGGCAATCGAAGTAATTCAAAATGGTACTTCTCAGAAAATAATGTGGCCCAGGAAATGCATTACTAAATGCCAGATGGACAAAATGATTTGATCCCTTCAACACTGCGGTTGACAATGTTTACCCAAAGTGGATGCACCAGTCTTTCCATCCCCAAATGCTGCTTGTCATGTAATATGACTCTGAGACTCCACCCACTGAGAGCGGGGTCTAAGATCCCTGCCACTGAGTTTGGGAAGGCTTGTGATCACAGCAGAGGTGACACTACGTGACTTCTGATGGTTGGCCCTAAAAGCCAACACAGCTTCTGACAGGCTGTCCTGGGGCACTTGGCTTTGGATCTTGCCACCATGCAATAAGCAAGCCACGCAGCCCCATTGAAGGTCAAGTGTAGATGTACCTACTGGCAAACACTCTGTAGTCTCTACAAACATCAACATTACCTTCCAGAAGCTTTCAGATGGCTCCACACCCCAACCAGTGTGTTGCCTCCAGCTTTCAAGCTTTCCTAGCCATGCTCTAGACATTATGATGTAGAGACACTCTAACTGCTCTACATTCCCTTTCAAATTACTGACACACCTCCCCTTCCCCCCCCCCCCCCCCAGCCCCAAGCAGAAGCATCATGAAATGAGTGCTATGTTATTCCACAAGTTCGGGGTGGTCTGCTACATAGTAATAGCAAGGAGAATAAATACCCTTCCTCCATTCCTTCCTCAACTTTAAAGATAAAAACCCTGCCTTCTTTGTGTTTTCTCACAGCAGGTTTTATCAACCTCCATCAAAGCAAGTATGATTTCATTTCACCAGTAATTACCTTTCTGTCTGTCTGCCATCAGCTTCGGACCTTTGCAAGGACAGAGATTTTGCTTATTGATTTCTCTTGTCCCAAAGTATTTGTTGTAGGAATGAACAAATGAATGATTGAAACAGCCTAGAGAACACCACACTTTCGACTTCAATCTCGCTGTCCCAAACGCAGAGGAAGCTGATAAGTTTTAAAGCTACTGTGTTTGTGAACAGTCATTACATATGAATCAATGCACATGCAATCAATACGCCTTCAGAGGCTAAGCTAGAAGCAGAGAAATGGAAAACAAGAACCCTCACAGTTTGGGTGGCAGAAGTTGGCTGTGCCCCTCCCATATCCCTCTGAACCCTTGGGTCTCTCTCGCACGTGCCTACCACATTCTATTACAGGCACTTACGACTCTCCAACTAAAGACTTGCTCTCAGCTCCCAAGAGGGCAGGCCAGACATGCTGGGAGAATTAAAGCCCTGGACACAGCCCACAGGCGGTGATGGGTACGGGTTGGAGGATAAATACCCTACAGTTCCATATACCCTGAGTGGGTATTTTTAGGGCTTATTCTACAATGTTCCCTAGAATTCCCAGGCAGGAATGAGCCCCAGCAACCTTTGCAATAATGCATTCTTCTCTTTCCACCTTTATTCTCTCAGTCTTCTGCTGATACTCTTGGGATCACCTTTGAAATAAACCATCGGCTTTCAAATCTACCCAGGTGTTCTGGCAAAACTCAGAATGACCAGCACTCGAAGCAACACAGACCAAGTCTCATTGACAAAAACAACAAGAAGAGGGTACGGACAGATAAAATTCACCCAGCAAGTTACAATGCCTTCCACTGCATTTCAACAAATGACTCCAGTAAAAATTTCCATGTGCTGTTGATTAAAGATAATCAACTCAAGATTCAGGCCACAACGAACTATAATAGACAAAAGGTTCATTTGTATATTAGTCAGGACACTTTGGGCTGCAAGTGACAGAAAACGAACACAGATTGGCATAAGCAAAACAGGGATTCACTAGTTTGTGTAAGTGAAGCGCCGTGGGAAGAGGAAGGTCTTCGGCAGTGGTGGACCCATGTCAATTACCAAAAGTCTCTTTACCAACATGCAGCTCTGCTTTCCTCTTGGGTTTTGTTTTTTTTTTTTTTTTTTACCATTTGGGAAGCTCTTTAGAAAGAGTGGGAAGAGGCAACTTCAGATTTACATTCCATTCACTAACTAAGTAACACCAGCAGAAACAGAGATGCTCTTTCTCAACAGCTCCATGCAAAGTCTTGGGCTTGGCTTTCACTTCTGAACTGACAGCTGTGGTTAGGACACTGGAATATGTCACTGGGCAGACTAGATCTGTGACCTCTCTGCAGCGGGAGATGATGGTAGTGGTGATTCCCTCCCAAACCAAACAGCCTGGCAGGCGCTCACGAGTGGTTCCTTACAGGAAATTCACAGTTGGAAGGGGAAGGAACACTACACAGAGAAGCATGACGCCCTACAGCACCAACCCAGACGTGTTATTTTAAAAAGGACAAAGTACAGGGGCACCTGGCTGGCTCAGTCAGAAAGAACATGCAACTCTTGATCTCGGGGCTGCGAGTTCAAGCCCCACGTTGGGTGTAGAGATTACTTAGATAGATAAAATTTTTAAAATGAGTAAGTACAGAAAAGCAAAACCAAATAAACTGAACTCTTCAGTTACTCAAGGCATAAACACTCCATCTTTTGGGAAAGCCAGTTTCTCTGACTTATAACTGAAAAAAGTTGTGGCTGATAAACGTATGTATATAAATCAAGAGGGTGCCAAGGGAGATGAAATTAGCACCTTCTCACCTGCTCTTCTGTTTTTAAATGTAGGTTTCATTATTATTTAGTTATGGCAAGGCCAACAGATTAGGAGATGATTGTTATTGACATGAGAGATTTTTACTCACCGTTCCCAAGAGGAGGGTCATCTCATTCCCTGAGGGGCCACACGGGGAAGCAGTGGGGATGGTCAGGAAGCAGAGGCAGAGGCAGCAGGGAAAACTTCGCAAGAAGACTTACTCTAGTTTCTGTGGGAAGGAACGGGAGAGGCAAGGTAAGCAGGCATGGAATTGGCTGGTCTGAATAATTTCAGGAGGCTCTAGGGTATAGGGGCTGTCCTGAGTTGTCTGGTGTCTGGCTCCAGGGTGATTACAGCAGGTAGATCTGGTAGCCCAAAGTGTTATACTTCAATAAAGGAGGTGGGTGGGGGTATGGGTTTTGGATTATTTAATTTGCATTTGAAAAGGATGCTCCCAGGTGAGCTGTTTAAAATCTCTAACAATTAGCTAATCCTGGGAGGGGTAGTCCCTCCCCAGTTAGCAAGACCCTAGATGCCAGCACAGAAAGAATAGGAAAATGCAAATATAGTTAATACACTCTTTCAGTGAATGAAGCTATATAACCTGGAGAGATTGCATCAATCAGCCACTTGAGGACTCTGAAAAGTAAGGAGTAGCAAGTAGATTGGAAAAGAAGATCAGAATTTGAAGCACCATCCAACTGGAGTTGACTCTTTTTCTCTCTCTGGTGTCCACTGGCCTGAACCCAACACAGTCTGAAACCTGGGAGTGGACAGAGAGAGCTCGAGGAAAAGGCCTTTAGTTCTGGCTCAACAAGGAAAGAGGTTTCCAGATACTTAGAAAAGGGGAGGAAATGCCTTGTTTTCTTTTTCTCATTCCTTCTTGTCTTTTTTCTATTCTCCCGTGCCCCAGCCCACAAGCAGTCTTGGCATACTAATGGAGCTGGTGTCGGAGGCAAGAGTGGAGGCCCCCAGGAGCCTGAAATGCTGAGGAAGGGAGCTTCCTCTCCAGTAGGAGGATGTGTGATTCCCAGAGGAAAGGCAGACTCCTGTTGCTTTCTTACCCTCTCTGTCCTGACACTTGGCTCCAGACATGAGCACAGCTAGGGGTTGTATATGCCAGTGGGGAGTAAATCAAACCCCAGTTTTCTGTTCAAATCGGCAAAAAGAGGCGTTCACAGAGCTGAAAAGGGTCAGGGACAGCTGAGAGAGAGAGGAGAAAGTTGCTCATGGACTCCTAGGGTAACCTCTGAGCTACTCATTCCTGCTTGTGACCCTGAACGACTTGCAGACACTTTGGAACTAAGCTATGGAATAGACTACACCCACGTCCCAGGCTGAGCCCTGGGCGGTGAACATCTGGAACAGATCTAACTAGCACTGTAAAAGGATTTGAAAACTGAACTGACCTTGAAACCACAACCCACAGAAAACTGGTTGGGAATTGAGGACTGAACCCAACTGGGTTGATTAACTGCTAAAACAGAAATATCAACACTCTTCATAGGATTTAAGTAAGATTTGGAGTCTCGTAATATCTAAAATGTCCAGGATACAAACCAAAATTACGTAGCATGCAGAGAATCATGGAAATCTCAACTCACAGGGGAAAAGAGGCCAATGCTGAGATAACACAAAGGGTTAGAAATATTTGAAAAAAGGTTTAAAGCAGCTGTTAAAGAAATGCTCCTACATTCCAGCAGGAATTCTGGACATTCCAGAAATAAACGGAAAAATAGAAAGTCTCAGAAAGAGAAAAGAAGATATAAAGAACCAAATAAAAATTTTAGAACTGGAAAATACCGTAACCAAAACAAACTGATTGGATGAGTTCATCAGCAGAATGGAAATGACATGAAGTCAGATGAAAATGACATGAAGCAGTGAACATGAAGACTGATTAGTAGAAATATAATCTGAACAAGAGAAAGAAAAAAAGATGAAAAAATAAACAGATCGTAAAGGACCCGTGGACAATACCAGAAGGTCTAACATCCTTATCATTATGTCTGAGAAGAGGGAAAGAATGAAGCACAGAAAACCTATCTGAAGAATAACAACCTGAAAACTTCCTAAATGTGGCAAAAAGCAGAAATCTGCACAGTCAGGAAGCTCAGCAAACCTCAAACAATATAAATCTAAGCAAATCCTGTGCCCCCCACATAATAAAACTTCTGAAGACTAAAGAAAAAGAAAAAGTCTTGAAAGCAGCCAGAGAACAATGGACACACCACCATTGAAGTAGCTGCAGATTACTCATGAGAAACCACAGTTTGGAATGAAGTATAACAAATAAAGTGGAGAAGGAAAACAAATGTCGAGCCAGAATTTTATTCCAGTGAAAAGAGACTTGGGAACGAGTTGAAATAAGGACATTCTCAGGTGGAAAAAATAACTAAGAGAATTCATTTCCAGCAGACCTGTTCTAAAGGAATTTCCAAGCAGGTTCTTCACACAGAGGGAAATTATATCTGAAGGAACCTTGGAACATCAAGAATGAGGAAAGAGAAATGGAAATAGTAAATTTCTGTGTAAACATAACAGACTACTTTTCTCCCAGGAGTTTCTTAAAGTATGGCTGATAGTTGGAAGCAACAAGCAGTTGTACCACTGTCTGATGGCATTTTCACTGTACGTAGATAACAAAAAACATACCAAAACAAACAATCCTATCTACTGGTAAGGTTTCTATGTTTGACCTGAAATGCTAAGATATTTAAAAATGAAAAGTTATACATACTGTAACCTCTACAGTAATCACTAAAATCACCATACAAAGAGATATGATCATAAAAAGAGAATACATATATCCGAAGTATGCTCTCAGACCATAATGGGCTTTATCTTGAGTTATGCTAGGTTACTTCAATATTTGAAAATCAATCAATGTATTATTCATTGCCAAAAAAAAAAAAGCACATGATCATATCAATTTATACAGTACAAGCATTTCACAAAATTCAATAGTCATTCATAATTAAACACTCTCAGCAAACTACTAAAAGAAGGGACTTTTGTCAGCCCAATAAGGGACATCATTGAAAAATCTACAAGGAACATTACACTTAATGGTAAAAGATTGAATACTTTCCTCCTAAGAATGGGAACAAGGCAGACTTCTTCTTTCTCCTTTCCTATTTGACACCATACTGGAATTTCTATCCAATGCAATTAAGAAAAAAAAAAAGGAAAATAAATAAGGAAAAGTCATCCAATTTGGAAAAGAAGAAACAAAGACAAGATGAATTGGCTGCCTAATTGTTAAAAAAAAAAAAAAGATTATATGTCTATATAACAGCAATAAGAAATTGGAAATCAAATATTTTTAAATGCTTAAATTTAAAAAGGCTCAGGAACACCTGGGTGGCTCAATAGGTTAACTGTCCAACTTCAGCTCTGGTCATGATCTCACAGTTGATGAGTTCGAGCCCCACACTGGCTGTGTGCTGACAGCTCAGAGTCTGGACCCTGCTTCAGATTCTGTGTCTCCTTCTCTTTCTGCCCCTCCCTTGCTCATGCTCTGTCTTTCTCTCTCTCAAAAATAAATAAACATCAAGAAAATTAAAATATAAAATAAAATAGCTCAAAAATGGAGATAATTAAATATAAATCCAATAAAACATGCAAAGGATCTGTGTGCTGAAAACTACAAAATATTGATGAAAGAAATCAAAGAGGACCTCAGTAAATGGAAAGACATACCATGTTCATAGATTGGAAAATAACATGTAAAGATGTCACTTCTCCCCAAATTTATTTATAAATTTAACATAATCTGAATCAAATTCCCAACAGGATTTTTTTGTGCAGATATTAGTTGATTCTAAATGGATATGAAAATGCAAAGAAAGAAAAATAGTCAAAATGATTTTGAAAAAGAACAACAGACTTGGAGGAATCATACTTTACAATTTTAAGTCTTCTATAACGCTTCAGTAATCAGGATCAAGATAGCACAGTATTGGCAAAAATATGTAGATCAATGAACAGAAGAGACTCTGGAAATAGACCTGATGCTATGGCCAGCCAACTGATGACATTTTCATTGAAGTATAATTCATATACAATGAAATGCATAGACCTGAAGTGTGCAAATTGAAGAGACTGACAAAGTCATATACTCATATAATACACAACCAATAAAAAATATTTTCCATTTCCATTACTCTAGAAAGTTTCCCTGCATTCAGTTTATCAATTGAGTTTCTGCTAAAGTGCAGAGGCAACTCAATAAAATATTTTTTTCTTCTAAATGGTGTTGAAACATTTGGACTTCAAATGTGAAAAAAAAGAATTCCCATATAAATCTCATTCTTATACCAAAATTAACTCAAATGAAATTACATATAAAATTAATTAATTTATTTTTAGGAAAGAGAAAGAAGGTGAACAGGGGAGGGGGCAGAGTGAGAGAGAGAGAGAGAGAGAGAGAGAATCTTAGGCAGTCTCTACACTCAGCATGTATGTAGCCTGAAGGAAGGCTTGATCCCATGACCGTGAGATCATGACCTGAACCAAAATCAAGAATAGGACACTCAACCAACTGAGCCACTTAGGCGCCCCATGAAATCACATATTTAAATGTAAAATAGAAAATTATCAAACTTTTAGGAGAAAACATAGGGGAAAATCTTTATGATTCATAACAGTAAAAGAATTAACAAATTGGGTTTCATCAGAATCAACAATTTGTTCCAGGAAAGACACTGTTAAAATAATGAAAAGACAAGCTAAAGAGTAGGAGAAAATATTTACATACCACATATTTAACCAAAGACTTGTGTCCAGAATATATTAAGAACTCACAAAACTCAACGTTGAGAGAACAAACAATCCAGTTTTTAAATGAGCAAAAGACTTGAACAGACAGAGGAAATCCACATGGCAAAAAAGCACATAACAAGATGTTCAACATCCTTAGCCATTAGAGAAATGCAAATTAAAAACATGATGAGACTCTGTCTTCCTCTCTGTGCCCCTCCTGTGCTCACTCTCTCTCTCTCTCTCTTTCTCTCTTAAAAATAAATACACATTAAAACATTTTTTAGATAAAAAATTTAAGAAAACCATGAGATACTACTACTTACCTATTAGAAAGGGTTGAAAAATAATAAAAGATTACTGACAATCTCAAGTATTGGCGAAGATACAAAGCAACCAGAACTCACACATTGCTGGTGGGGGCCTAAACTGTCGTACAACCCTTATCGCAAGTAAGCTGGTAGTTTC